TGACGTAATTATTGATATTTGAAATTATGAATATAAATTTCTTTAGAATATTTCAGAATATTTTTCGAATAATTTTAGAATCATTTTCGTTTCGAAAAAATTGAACAATTGAAGAAACTTATTGATCAGAACTTAATGACTTGTTATAGTTAAATAAAAATATATATTTATTTATTTAACAAAAAAATAAAATTTTTAAAATTTTTCTCAGATTTTTAATTTTTCTCAGACACTGTGCTGTGTCAATAATCGTGTCCGATTACACGATGACAGCAGCTCGACACAATGTTACACGATGTTGAAACGAGAAATACACGACCCAATTCTATATATATTGGAAATATTTCAGAATCTAACCCAAACATATCGAATCGTTAAAATATCCTAGTTTCCCGTAGGAGAATGCGCGCGATCCAATTTAAATTTGTCGTCCGATTTACGAAAAGAAATAGATGAAATAGATACTTTCAATTAAAATTTACAATAATATTCGATGAGATTTTCTCTTCATTACGATTTTAACTACTTTTCAACTCAATTTGAGCTTTAATTTTCCCGAAAGAACTATTGATCGCATTGGCCCACAATCACCATGTTTAATGACCATATTTTGGTTTTTACAAGTTTTCAAGAAAGAAAATGGCAAGTCGAAATAAAATATAATTTATTTTACTATTCACAACTTACAATCGCGAACAAAAATTATTAAAAATGTGAATTTGATCAACTAATATTGTAAATTATTTTATTTGGAATAATTAATTTTATTTAAAATGTTATAAATTTTTCTTCGGTCAATTTATATCTTTATTTTTAGCGTATAATTTTTCTCATCGTGTAAAGTAATTTTGGATGAAAAAAATTGAATTAGATTTGAAAAGTGTTTAAAGATTAGCGATAAAATTAAAGAAAATTAGAAATTAAAATTAGAGAATTAAAAAATTTCACAATTTTTCTAATTTGTAAAGTGCAATTGTCTATTCTAAAATAAGTTGAAATTCTGAACTAATAAGCAAAAAGTATATTATTTAAAAATATATATCGAATTATAAAATATTCCCAAAATATCAGTAATTTTAATTTAACAAAAATATTTACAAAAATAATATTATAAATAATAATATTATAACATTATAAAAAAAATTTCTCATATAGTTTTCTGATAAATTGATATTATTTAAATTGTCGCATATTTATGCAATATATTGCTTCAATATTATAAAGCTACAAACAATTCAAAATTTTTTCAATTTTCCAATATTGCATCATAATCGGAATACGATTTTTTGTTTACAATGTTTATCACATAAATAAAATCAATATGAGAAAAAAATAAAATTACAATATATTCATTTATATCTTTAAATATAAAATATATAAAATATATATGAAAATATGTATTTGCATAAAAATATACAATTTATTAATTTGCTCGCTATTTTATTGAAGCACCAATAAATTTCTAATATAAAACACTAGAGAAAAATATTAAGTATAAAAATAAAAATTAAAATTTCAAAATCCTTGTAGCATTCCAAAAATTTTTTAAAAACTAATTTATCTTTCTGTAAATAAATCTATAAATTTAGAAACAATTTTTTTTACTATTAGAAAAAATTGCAGTTTTAATATAATTTTTTCATTTCACTCTATAGAATTAGCGAGATTAAGAATCGAATGATGAAGTATACTAACTTACGTTAGTAAGGCTTGACACGAAGTCTTTACTTGGAAACTTTCCGTGATTTACCAAGTGGAAGCAACTCGAAACCACTCAAGTAAAACCTCTATGTTTACCTATCAAAGTAGTAGTATGTGCACATACATATTCCCGACACCGTCTTCGACACCTAACCTCGAAAAAAGGATCGTATATCCATTTCCAATGCTATTTGTCGTTCGAAATATAATCTTAGAAATTGCTTTTAGTATTATAATACAAGTAGTACAAAGATCAGGATAAAAATGGCATTGTTAAGTGAAAATAAATGTAATTTTTTTATTTTTTATGTAAAAATAAAGAAATTGAAAGATCGTTGATTAAAATACAAAATTTGGAGGAGTAATAGGCAAAAAAAAGTGGATTTAGATTTAAAATTTTAATTTTGAGTATTTATTAATTTCTGAGATAAAAAATTGATAAAAAATTATTTAAAAAGCGTGTATATAGATATTGATATATTGAATGTTATGTTTATTCAGATGTTACTAATATACAATAATCTTTACTGTAATCGTCGTTGTCGAGTGTTGACTAACTAATGAATTTAATTACATTAATTTCAGGATATATATATATGTATACAATTCATAAAAATTCAAAAATCTAATCATTCGTTTTCAAAAAATTAAATATATACATTTGATTTATCAAATGTCTCTTACAAATGAGAATAGAAAAAATCCAATTCATAAAAAAACCATTTAACATACAATATATGACAATTACTATTATTTTTGAGCACGCTTTGAATGAAAGCGATTTCATAATGGATATTGTTAGGTTAGAATTCAAAAGAAGGGAGGCTATAAATATTAAAATCGATTATTAAACATTTAATGAGGACAACTTATAAATGAAGATAGTATTAGTTATGTTTGTATTCAGGCAAAATTCAATGAATTCAAAAATACTGAAAGTTCTTCATTAATATTTCAGAAATTAATAAATTAATTCAAAAAATAATTTATATTTCCACTTCTCTTTTCTTTACTTCAATTATCTCATCAAGTTTTGTTACCAGAATCTTTTCAAATTTTAAAAATAATATTTTATTACAGCAATATGTGTTTTAGAAATATAAATATATATAAAGAAATTATATTAATTTATAAAAAAAATTATATAATAAAATTAGAAAAAAGATGCAACTGGTATATTTTTTAGTTTAAGTTAAAATTTTATAATAGTAACATTTTAAATTATATAAAATTTTATTTTAAATTTTATTTTTTTTTAAATTATAGAATAAAAGAAATAAGTATAATGCGTTTTAATTACAAAATAACTTTGTATATCAATTATTTAAAAATAATATAGAAATATAAATATAATATGTATACATGTATATGATATAGTGAAAATAAATAATATGAATAATGTGAAGTAATAAATTTTAAATTTTTATTTTATTATTTTTATATCATAAATAATGTAAAAAACATATATCTAGTAAAAAATCACATATGAATCGTGTAAATAAGTACTGCGTAAAAATAGGTTAGGTATACTTGTATTTCTTGCGAGATATAAATAAATCATTCTTTTAATATTTTATTTAAATAATATCAGATATATGATTATTTAACAAACTTATATAATTTGATAAAACAATATTTTAATAACAAGTTTATGTATAATAGAATTCATTTTTTTTATGAGAAAATGTGAAATGGAAAAAATAAATATTTAATTATCAATAACATTAATAGAAAACATTAAAAAAATATTATATAAGATAAATAATTAAATTTAGAAACAAAAAGGAACGAGAAAGTTGCATTTTCAATAAAAATATAATATTATGTAAAGATGAATATTTTTTGCTTATTTTATCGAATTGATTAAATAATCGCATCATTTGAATTAATTTGCATCGAAGATAAAAATGAAAAGTGTCATGGATGATAAAAATGAGAAAAAATATAGTGAATATAATAATAAATATATTAAAATTAATACAAAAATAAATATAAATATAATTACGTTTAATATCGTTTCAATTATAAAAATTTCAATAAATATAACTAAAGTTATATTACAATAATAAATATAATATAATTATATAATACAAATACATAATACGAATCATAAATAATTAATTTCTTTGAATTAGCATTCAGAAATTAATAAAAATAATTTTCTTATTATATTCAGATATTATATTTAGCATACAAATTATAATAAGATTATTTTCTTTGAATAAATTAATTTTAATTCTAATCATACAACAAATTACAAAATTATATAATAAATTTATAATTTATTTAAAATGTAATTGTAATTAATACTAGAATTATTCTCGCTTTAAACAATTCATCAGAAACATATTCATATCATTATAAATCTACCAATTGTAGCAATTGAATTACATAATTGACTCATTATAGCTATTGACAAATATATGTTACTGTTAATGCACAAGACAATGTATTCTATTTCTAATAAGTTATTTATAGATGAAAAAAGAAAATAAAAACATAAAATAAAAAATTATTTTACCAAATGATGAAATAATATAAAAAAAAATTTATTTATTCAAATAAATTAATATATTATTTTAAATAATGATTAGTTCAATAATTATTAAAATAATAATATATTAATGATTATTTTTCAAATATTTTATTTCCATAATTTTCAAGTCTATAAAAAAAATAAATATAAAAATATAAAATCGAAAGTTATATTAATATTATTATAACAAAAAATTTTTTTAATAAAAGATAAAGATTTTTCTCCTATCCATAATAAAAATTCATAAAAAATTCAAATAAAAAATGACAAAAAAAAAATATGCAATATTAAAGGCACAATAAAACAATAAACAATAAAAACAATTCATTTCAATTGCAAAAAAAAGAATCTGAAAATTGTGTATTCATTATTTTTAATGACTCCTCTTTTTTAGAATTAATTAGATTAATTGCCCGATTAATCTATTTTTTAAAAATAATCTTTCATATATAAAAAAAAAAGATTGAATTCCATTATATATTTAAAAAATAAAAAAATAACATTTTTAGAAATTAAAAATTTTATAAATATATTTAGAAGTATGTTCTCATCTTTTCATTGCATCTAAGTAACATTGCACTTATATCAACATTCTGTATATTTTATATTCATTTCGGTTTATATTTATTGCTTTAAAAGCAATTAAAAGCACGTAAATATGGAATACGATTATAATATTAATATAAGAGCATATAAATAGAATTAATTATATCGACAAAAAAATAATCAATCGAATTAATCATCATGTTGTTACTTGTTTCAGGATTGGTCAAGCTTGGGGTCCACTGTGTGTTGGGCAAGAAGGTGGCGATCAAAATCATTAATCGAGAAAAATTGTCGGAATCCGTGCTGATGAAAGTGGAACGAGAGATCGCTATTATGAAACTGATCGACCATCCTCATGTACTTGGCCTCTCGGATGTATACGAGAACAAGAAATATCTGTGAGTATTTAAAACTAGAAAGAAAGAAAAAAAGGAAAAAACTGGAATTTTTCATGAATTTTTCTTTGAATGAAGTCGAGAGAAATTCTGGGGTCCGCTCGAGTTTCATCAAGCTCGAGATGTCGCTGAACTTTAATTCAACCGTTTCAAAAAAGAGTAGTTTGTAACTCAAGGGAGAGACAAAGTAGCGACATCTACACGCTAGACAAAAGTATTTTACTCACAGGACACTCATTACTTATAAAGAAGTGAATGGTACGCTTGGAAAAGTATGAATGTAACGTTGAAATTCCACTTGTTCATTTCAGATATCTTGTTCTGGAACACGTTTCGGGCGGAGAACTTTTCGACTATTTAGTGAAAAAGGGTAGACTAACGCCAAAGGAAGCGAGGAGATTTTTTCGACAAATTATCTCTGCGTTAGATTTTTGTCATAGTCATAGTATATGGTAAGTAATTTCAGATTATTTTAATCTATTATTTTAATAATACGAAACGAATATAAAACTATTGCAATACGTTACGTATTTATTTATAATTTTAAGGATATGAAATTCTAACCTCATTTCATTTTTGTCGATAATGCGTATAGAAAATGAATTCGATTTCATTTGAAATAAAATAATAAATAATAATTTTTAATAATGAATTATTTTAAATATTTTACTAATTGAATTTTATAAAATAATTTTACTTTATGTGTGTAAATAAATTTTTTATTTAAATAAATTAATTTTTATTCTAATTATTGTAGATTTTTTATTTAACTTCCAATCAAGAATTTTTACAATGTAATCATATTTGCTTTCAAAATTTTTCTGTTTCAAATTTTTGCTTCATCAAAAAAATATATTGTGATAATTCTAAAACAATAAAAATTAGATAGTGCTTATAAAATTATTTAAAATTATTCAAAAAATAAATAAAATAGAAAATTATTTCATTTAAACAAAATAATCTAAGAAAAAATCATTTGTTTATTCAAATAAACTAACATCATTTCAAAATAATCAAATATATTATTTTAATTATTTTTCAAAATAATAAATAAAGCTTTCACTTTTTTTCATTAATGTTCAAATCTAGAAATAACATTTAGACTAAGATTATAAATGTCAAAAAAATTGATATTGCAATAATTCATTTTTTTATGTCAATTTCACATTTCATTATAAGTTATAGAAACAATTACATAAGCTACATTTCTTCGCTTCTATCTTACAATAATATAATATTATTAAAAAAAAATCCGTTTTTTTAATACTTATATGAATCTAATTTTACTAAGAGACAAAGAAGGATCTGAATAATTAAAGAAATTTATTATTTTATATATCATAAATGATATATTATTGCTTATTTCATCGGATTCAAGAAAATCTAATAATAGAAATAATTCCTAAGATATGAAATCAAATAAATAAAACGAATAAACAAATAATATATTACAAAAAAAGAAAACTGATTTATAAAATTTCTACAACAGAATAAATTGGCTTCTAAAACGCATTTAAATGAAAATTTCAAATCAGTTGATCTAAAATCAAGAAGAAGGATATACAAGATGTTCCGAAATTAACAAGACTTAATTGGTGATTCTTAAAGTTGTTTCGACTTCTTTGTTCGAACTCGCTAGCAATACATACCCAACACTATCATTATCAGTTGCGGCAGTTCTGCTTTAATAGCTTATTAAGAAAGATGAAACGAAAATTTTTGTAAACGAAAAAGTTGTTGGAAATTATTTCGGGAATCATTAATTGTTGAGTCTTGTCGAATTTTTGGATTACGTCATAGAATATTTAAAAAAAATAAATAAAAAGTTTAAAGAATGATTCTAAAAACTCAAATAAATATAAAAATTTATATGCAAAGATATAATTAAAGCTTATTTTTCAAATTACAAGCAATTTAATTTTGTATTGAATGAAACAAGATAGAGATAAAATTACTTCATATATTGCTTATCTAGTAAAAAATTAAATTTTCGCTATTCAAAAAAAGCAAAAAAAACTTTTTAATTAAACGCAACGTACGAAATTCATTAAAAATAATTGTATTTTTTGAAATATAGAATATTATGGTATTAAATATCAAACGCATAAAAATGTTATATATGTTATATATAGTTTTGTATGAAATAAATACAAAGAAAATAATTTAATAAATATTTTTTTGTCAAAATAGAAATGAAAAATTAAAATCTTGCTGGATATAATTATAATTCTAAAAATTTCAATATCAACATGTATAATGAAAAATATATATGTAAATGTGAAAACATCACAAAATATTACGAAATATTTTAAAAAATAATATATAATTATATTAATAATTATTTTTTTGTAAATTTATAATAATGAATGTTTATCTAAGACTTTTAGTCAGACATTTTTTAACTATTATTTTATTTTTTCATTGCATTTTCATATTCATTATATATGAAAATTTAAATTATTTTTAATAAATATACAATTTACTAATTTTTCCTAATTTTGACAACTTAATATTATTTTCAAAATTCATTTTCTTTTGCTCTTTCCTTATATAAGAAAAAGAATATGATATATCATTTAAAAAATACAAAATGATTTTCAAATAATCTTGAAAAATTGAAGCTAAAAATTTAATATATACATCATCATAATATATATAAATAATATAAAATATTTTTATACTTTTTTCTCATTTATTTGACAGTTATCAAACAACAGAAATTTGTAGATACTTCACGATAACGACGATAAAATATAACACTATTTAGTCAAAATAATTTACGATAGACATAAATATTACAAAATAATTTTCAACATATATTTATTAATACCAATTTATTTATTCACTTTAGTCTTTAAAATCATCTCTCAAATTCTCCACATACTTCGTCATCTGAACATCCTGTATACAATTCAACAATGATGCTAAATTCCTTCCGGTCAATTTCGCACCGCGTTTAATTCGATAACAGAGACAAGAGAAAAACGAGCAGCGTAGAAAGCTGGGGGGTTCCGAAAGGTCTAGTTAGGGTGACCTACCCCAACAATCGAATAAATTGAGAAACGGACCTAATTTCACTGGAGGGATACCCTGTAACATTGGCTTCGATCGATCATTTAAATTAGCTCACCCTAAGCTCACGATAAGCTATGTAGACTTACTAACGTAGGTGGCTAATTCTCGATAATCGTTTCTCACTTCCAGTCACAGAGACTTGAAGCCTGAAAATTTGTTGTTGGACGAGAAGAATAACATTAAGATAGCGGATTTTGGAATGGCGTCGCTGCAACCTGCCGGGTCCATGCTAGAAACTAGCTGTGGTTCTCCTCATTACGCTTGCCCTGAAGTTATTCGAGTAAGTTCTATAAATTTTTTTTTTATTTAAATTTGGGCAAAATTATTAAATATTTATTTCAAATTTAAAGATAAATATTAAAAATATTTCAAATATTGCTATTTATTATTTATATATAATAAGTAATATACTTCAATTAATAATTTGCTCTTTGCAAACTATAGTATGATATATATTTATTAACAATTAGCAGTAAAAGAGAAAAAAATTGTTCAATTAAGTTTAAATCGTCAGAAAATCATGTAACTTATAACTGCATTGAAACGTGATCTATCAACAGATATACTTTCAGAATTTCATAAACTTGCATACATATCTATTCAAAAGCATTTCTAATATTTACTTTAGAGCATAGATCTTATTATATGAAAAGTTAATGTATCTTATTAACAGAAATATATCAAATAATATAATAATTTTTATATTTTTTATATTGATCGATTTGTCAGTAACAGTAACAATATCGTTTTGCGTTGAGTAACAATAAACACTGAATAAGCATTATTTTTGATGTTAGAAATTATCACGTGTCTTTTTATTTTCTTTTAATTTTTATTCTTTCGAATGAAAAAAACAAACAGCGACTTATTTGTTACTAGCAATAGAAATATAAAGAAAAATATTCAGCAACAAAGTGTTTTTCAATAAACAAAAATATTTCTTATTGTTGCTTCAATGGAGATACAGCATAATATATCTTATTTTGTATTTATAGAAAATCAATATCCATCACCAAAAAATCCTTCGATTATTAAAATGAATCAACTTTTATCGTATTTTTCACATGTTTTGAATTATGAGTTTTTATTCTTTAAATATCTTCATTATGAATCTTCAATGTCGCAATATGTGTGTCATAGGAATTTCCTATTTCCTATAGCGATTGATGTATACGGATATGTACATCATGAATTTTTTTAAAAAATATGAAAGATGAAAAAATTTTTTCTACATATCCAATTTTTTTTTCGCATAGTTCAATATAAGTATTCAAGTATTTCCACATTCATTTTGGATTCCATTCCATTTTTTATCGTTTCTCAATTTTGTCTTTTGTATTTATCGAAAATCAATATCAATCACCAAAAAATCCTTCGATTATTAAAATGAATCAATTTTTATCGCATTTTCCACATGTTTTGAATTATGAGTTTTTATTCTTTCAATGTTTTTATTATGAATCTTCAAATAAATACTTAATTAATATGATATTTGAAAAATGAGAAAGATTTTTATTATATCCACTAATGTATGTTTCTGCAACTGTTCATTATGTACCATCAGTTGAGAATTGCTGTTTCGCATTAGAAAATATCATAGAGAATTTGAAGTTTTTCTCAATTTTAATCGCTTTAAGATTTAATCATATAAAATAAGCAAAACTTTAATAACAACTTTTAATAACTTAAGAACAATAACGGTTTTTTAAACGTGAAGGGGGAAGCCAGTTGGTCGGAGATTTAATTAAAAGGGGGAGAAAAATAAGGAATAATTGCGCGTTTCCAGGGTGAGAAATACGATGGGAGGAAGGCGGACGTCTGGTCGTGTGGAGTGATACTTTACGCGCTTCTGGTAGGCGCGTTGCCCTTCGACGACGACAATTTAAGAAAATTATTAGAGAAAGTGAAACGAGGCGTGTTTTATATACCCCACTTTGTGCCGCCCGAGTGTCAAAATCTGCTCAAAGGAATGATAGAAGTCGACCCGGACAAGAGACTTACGGTAAGATATTCTTTTCAATAACTGTGAAATTTCATCGAATGCTTTCTTGATTGTAAAAATGTTAAATTTATTATTTATTATTTAATATAGGATGTAATATTAATATAATAATAATAATAGCGCTGGTATCATATCATTGTCATTGTATATTTAATTTATTGCAGATAAAATGAATTCTTTTAATATAATATATAATATATATAATATATAATATAATACATTTAAATGGTTGTAATTCCTTAATAAGTTTATTTTGATTTTATTTTATATTATGATTATATTTATTAATCATAATTTTTAATACTAATGGAAGATTGTTTATTCCTTTAATGCAATTCTTTTCAAAAGTTTTATTAATTTTGTACACATTATGTTGAATTTTAAATCTATATAAGAAAACATTCGACTTATCTCTAAATAAATGATTAAAACTGACCTGATCTAACCTATTTTAAAGAATAACTTTTTCTTAATAAATTTTTAATGAACAATGAAAATTAAAATTTTTACAATACAATTCAAGATGATGAATTTAACAATATATTTAAAAAAATCAGAGGATATTTTTTTATTTTTTTATTAATATTCAAAATACACTATAATAAAATAATTAATCTTTTTAATGGATCTTTCTAATTAACAAATGATTGTCAAATTTTTTCAATTTAATTCTAAACAGAAAAATATCTCATTCACTATCATCATCTCTCCCCTATCAATTCTACTCCATAACCATAATCAATAGAATAGAGAAGATAAATCATAATTTCAAATTTTCTCAGCTGGCGGAGATAAACAGGCACGTGTGGGTGACAGCGGCAGGCAAGGGAGAGTTAGAACTAGAGCTGTCGATGATGGACGTGGTGCAGACGCACGTTATTCCGTCCGTGGAGGCAATCGATCCGGACGTGTTGCAAGCAATCGCGAGCCTGGGTTGCTTCAAGGAACGGGACAAACTCATCCAAGAACTTCTCAGCCCGAAGTAAGATAATACAATGGCGTAAACTAACTAAGGAAGAGTTACCAAGTTATCTATCCAATTCTTGTTTCTTGTCCATTTGATTCTCGTTTAACTTTATTTTCTTAGAAAAAAAATTTAAATATTTATTGAACAATGCGATATAGCAAATAATAATTAAGTATGAGTAAAAAGATGTCCAATTTTCTTGAATAATAAATAATTAATAAATAATTAGTTAATACTTTGAAATGTATTTTATAAATAAAATCCTATATATTGTTATTCTTGATTGAAATATTCTATCTAATATTTTTTTATTTTTCAAATTTTTTATATGTTGCAATATTTAAAGATATAGGTTTTACATTTCAAATGAAGTTAGAAAATTTATATGAATTTTATTAAGATCTAGACAATGCTGGATATGTTTTAAATAAAAAGTATTGGAAATTATTATTGAAATAGACAATTTTAATACAATGAAGTAATATTTGATAAAATTTATTTTATGATTATGGTAATAAATTCACAAATGGAAAATATTTATTTAAAATAAGGTTATTTAAAATGAAAAAAGGAAAAAATAAAGTTAATGAAATTAAATGATATTTTAATCATTATAATAATAAATTATTATTTATATTAATGTAACACAATTTATTAATCAACATAAATTTTTTAAAGATTTTATTTATTGTTCATTTGTTACATGCTCATAAATTCAATTATTTTAAATAATATTTTTTAATATCATTGTATGAATTATTCAAATTAATTATATCTAATACAATTAAAAATATAATTTTATAAAAATATTAACTAAGAAAGAAAACAGTATATCTTAAAAAAAAATCAGATTCTAATTAATTTAATTCAGTTCTAACTAAAAATTTTTTTGATACAGTCACAACACAGAAAAGGTAATATACTTTCTACTATTGGAGAGAAAACGGAGAAGACCAGCTTGCGAGGATGAATTAGAAGTAATGAGAGGAGGTATGAGGGGTTCTGCAGGACAATTGGAAGCGGATCCACCGAGGAAACGAGTAGACACCTGTCGTGTGAACGGTAGCACGGCTTTGAATCTTGGCGAAATTAGCCATGGTTCACCTCTAACACCTAGAAGACAGTCGAGGTAAAATTGAAAAATCAAGTTTTTTCATATTAAGTTCATATTAAAATATATATAATATATAAAATAGACTATCAAAAATTATTTTTCATTAATGAATATTGGTTGAAAATAGAAATTATTAAAATTATTCTCAAAATAATATCTATCTATTGAAGAATAAATATTTAAAGAAGAAAATAATAATATATTTTATATCTTAAATCTATTGCTAATATTGTCTTGTTAATTTAAAATCTTGTTCAAATTAATTAAATAAATTAATAAATATTTGCAATGTTTTTTAATGAAAAATAATAGTAAGTCTTGAGAATTTTATATATATATTCATACTCTAAGTACATGGATAAGTGAAAATTAACCGATATGTAAATAAAAAAAAAAAAAAAAAAAAAGGAAAAGAAATAGGATTTTGTAATAAATTTGAATAAAATAAATCTTAAACGTTATTAATTTCAATCCAAAATCTAAATTTAGCAAATTTAATAAATCTGATTAATAAAAATATTAAATAAATATTAAAAATAAAAAAAATTAAATAAATACTTAATCAATACTGTACTTAGTCAATATTTAATCAAACTATCGATAAATTCTATTGATTAAAAAATGCAATAATTCATAAAATATCATAATTTTACATTCATAGATTCGTAAAATTTCTATTCATTGAAAACTATCAAAACACATAAAAATGTTGTATCTTCTAAAACAAAGTTTAATCCCAAGCTTCGTTCAACTTCACGACAACTTGCGTGACCATGATTGATCTCTCCATTTGAATGCATCGCATGTACAATCGCATGTATCACGTGTACTTTCTCTATCTTTTTCTCCCTCTGTTTCCCTATTTAATTCTCCATCACGTGAGAGTTTTATACGGACAATCCGCTTTTATTCGATTAAAATCGTATCTTAAACATTGATCAATTGACAAGCAAATTGACTGCATAGAGACCAATAGAATATCAAACGCGCGAAATGATGTATAATCTGGTTCAAATTATGGTTTTCAAATATGTATGTTTCTTTTATCATTGCTTTTATTTAATAGTGACAATTATCACAATTATATGTTATAATTTACTTATATTTTTTAACTTCTAACTAAAATTTTAATTAATTAATCTATGAAATTAATCATAAATTATTAAATAATGAAATTAATTATCGATAATTATCGATAGTTAATCATTATGATCATTAACAAAAAAAATTATGTGAAAATTTTTGAAATAAATAATCAATAATAAAAATTTTTATTTCATTGCATCAAGTACTAATATTTGACGAATTACGAATATATCTTTCTGTTTTATCGTCAATTGTCACTTTTGGCCACAAGCAATATCAAAAAAATTCGAAATCGTTTGAAAACGTTGAAATTAACTCACATGTAAAATATTAATTTTACTACGAAAAGAATTTCAATAGTAATCGTTACTCAATTATCCAATTGATGAAGATTGAATTTTTAATTATTAATCTATGATTAAATTTCCCAACTCTAATATTATATGCTTATGAAAAATTGATAAATGTATATGAATACATAACCTACAAAATGCCACAAACAAGCGAAATTATGATAAAAACTTGAAATGAAACTTGTTACTTTCCAGACATTCTGCATTATCATTTTTCTCTTCTCCTAAAATTGTGGTGGAAACTGTTGTGAAACAAACTTTGAACGAATTTCTTTTCTGCAGTACCAGGCATCACGCGCGTCGTTCGCCAAGCACCGGATGTCACACACACGCGTCGCATTCCCACGCATCAACGCCAGGCAGCTCACCATTGCACGGCTCCAATGCTGTCGCAGGACTGCTCAGTCCTCATAGAACTCCTCCAACCTCGCATCTAGGCCAGACAGGAAGCCCTCACAGATTGTCAACAGTAACAACCGCCGCGGGCAACGGAAACACTACTACGCCGCCAGTCGTCGCTCCTGTCGCTGCTCTACCCAATGTGGGAATAGAAATAAACGATGTCCAGCAGGGTGAGTTTATATACCTAATTTTCTTTTTTATTCTCTTTCTAATTAATTTTAAATCCCCGAATTCAAATTGTTTCATCATTTTAAAGAAAATCTTTTATCTTCGCTATATACGAGAATTAAACATGATTAAATAAAGTTTATCTTTTGGGACAAGATAATAGAAATGCAATAGTAAATTAGAATTGAACGTTATCAAATAATTAATTCGATAGAATTTTTTATTTTATTTTTCATATGTTAATTTATTTTGAATATTGTTTAAATAATAATGTGTTTGGAAAATGATATTGATAATGATATTTGTTATTTTATTTGATAAGTAAGTATTATTTACAAACATTATTATTTCAAATGCGTTTTTTATTTATAAATTTTATTTATAATAATTATATTTATTATTATTCAAATATATTATTGATTAATTTTAGATAATTATAAATATTATGCAAGTACATAAAGATTAATAATTATAAAATTAATCATGATTTTTTATTTTTGTTTTTTTAATTAATAATTATTTCATTAAATTTTATTAATTTAAATTTTATTGAAAAATCAGTAATCATGATTAATTATTTTTAAATTTAACAATTAATAATTTTAACAAATTAATCATAATTTTAATAATTAATCTTCAAATTATTCTATCTTCAAATTACTCAAAAATTTTCAGATTTTAATTTTTTTTAAATTAATAAATGACTCATTAATCCTAGAAAATTTTTTTTATCTCATTATTAATAAAAATTATTAATTAATATCAAAAACTCAGTCAAATGAAAGTAAATCAGAAATTAATATTAACCCTGTTCAAATATTTACCTTGAATAATTCAACTTTATAAACTATTTTCCATTAATACAGAAATAAGAGTTTAGGTTTTTTTTAAATTCATTGACATATAAACTTTCCTATTTAATTCTAGAAAATCGATTTTCACGAGATTGCATTATTTCGATGAATAATCCATTCTTTCAAAGTGCTCTTTAGATTGCATTTTATGAACTAATCGACTATAAGTCCTCTTAAAACTAGTTATATTCAAAGCATTTATGTGGTGTTTAATATGCCAAATTTTTATCTAGAAATTATAATGTCATAAATTTAAGATAATATAAGATAATATAAGAATAATATCAAATATTACAAATATTACAAGTAAACAAATATTTCAAAATAGCGTGAAATAATAGAATCATAATTTTATTAATTTTTCATTCAATTTTTTATTTTAATAATATTTTATTAATGAGAGATACATTAATTTTCCTATTTGTAATTCGTAAAATTATTTTATCACATTCTCTTTTTAATATAATTAATTATATTAATTACTACAATAATATAATAAATATAATATATAATATAATAAATCAAATTAAATTAATTGTATTATGAGAAATCCAATTTGATTAATTAATTTCTAAATTAATTCATTCTAATTTTTTTATTTTCAAATTCATTTATTATTTTTAATTATTTTATCCTTATATTTAATTTGTAAAAAATATTTAAAACAAAATTATAGAATAAATATGATGACAACAAAAAAAAAAGAAAAATAATACAAAAATAAAAGAAAAAGAAAAAATTAGTAATTATATAATACTTATGTTGCATAAAATAATAATAATAAATGATGCAAATGAAAGAAGAATATTTAATCATATATTCGTAAAGCTTAAATTTTTCTTTGTAATAGTATTCTATTGTAAATCAGAATAAATTTAATAAATAGAGAAAATTTATAATAATGATGGATACAATAATTCGAAAACTTTCGTGAACAACCGTATACTATTCAATACCGTTCAAAAATATCCATTAAATTACGAAATTTAGATTCGTATTTGTAATATCAATAAATGTTATTTAAACATTTAATATCGTAATTAAAATTAATCTTTATTATTTTGTTAAGGATTATATAATATTTTATATTCAAAATTACTTATTTCAGAATTACTAACTTAAATTATTACCTGTTTACCAATATAATGAAATATAATTAAATATTTAATTTAGATATTATTGTTTGCATGCTAATCTTTCTTTATTATTTCTCTGATAATTTCTTTCCATGTTTTTTTCATGTATAATATACTTCTTAAACAACGAGATCAGTCGTATTGAGTATCATCTTTATGAAATTATATTATTACTTTATCATTTATATAAAAGATAATTTTTACGTAAAAATAAATGTTATTATGCTACGATACTTTTGTATTATTGAGAGAGATTAATTATAAAAAAAAAAAATAATTGAAAAAAATTGTCTAAAAAAAATCTTTTTTTAACAAAATTTAAATTACATTTTATACAAAATAAAAAATGTTTGAATATTTTTTTTGAACGATAATATATATTTTTTTTAAATTAACAATTTTATTTGATAAAATAGAAATAAAAAAATAAAAATTGGCATGAAAATAATCATTTCAAATATCTTGTTATCTTATATTATATATGTAAAAAATTCTTTTACAATACATATTAATCGTATTATAAGAGGAGTTCATTGTAATAAATCGTAGACAAAAATAGTTGAAAGAAGAGCATAAATGTGCAGTGTTTATACGGGGCGCACAAAAACTTCTTCGGGCATCAGGGCCCCTTGTCGATGTCTGAGTGTTGCGTTTTCATTTTGCCAGGAAGGGTTAGTAACGGTTTTTAAAAAATGCAAATGACCTCGCGGCGCATAACGAGCATACACGAATCATTGTTAAAGAGATATGACACGGCTAAAGATACGCGTGCATCCATCGTCGTTCGCGTGGAATACTCGATTCTTCTCTCTGTCTCTCTCTGTCTCTCTCTCTCTCTCTCTCTCTCTCTCTTTCTTCTCCTTTTTTCTCTTCCCTCTGTTTGAAAATGAAACAAGCCGAAGAAACGTCCTTTTGTTCGAAACAATGCGACATGTTGAATCGTTGCTTATCCATCTTTTTTCGCGGAAATAACCAATTTACTTTGCTAAAGGCTAATTAACATTGAGAATATGAGAGCAGTTAAATTGACGTACAAATGCTTCAGGAAAAATTAATATTGACATTTATATTGATAGAAAAATAATTTGAAAAAACTAAATGAGGATATCATTATTTTTATAAGTCTGTTTTTTGGAAATATTAAAAAAAAATCTTTCATACAAAAATTGAATGGTTTTGAGAAAGGCGCGACATAATGTAGGTTAATTAGCTTTTTTCACTTTTTTTTTATAAATGCGTTATATAAAGATTATATAAAGATTATATAAATTTGTTTCTTTAAACAGGACCATATATTTTTTAATTCATAAATAGATGTAACATTATTTTCTATAATATTGACATTTATACTGAATCAATTTAATTAAGAACTATTAATTTAAAAAAAAAAGATATTTAATTATCTTCAAAACTTCATAATTTTTCAAGTATTTGGTAATTATATTATATTATATGGTAATTATATTATATCATGCTCTCCTCGAAACGATTCTTCTGTCTGAAACATTTTTTAATATTTCCGAAAACATGTGAAATATTTTAGATGTTAAAATTACATAAAATACCCGGTATATTATATTATATACAAAATATACTTGAAAGTATTATGAAATTACCATTTTCTTATATTCTAATGATATATTCTGATTTCAAAATAATATTTGTATGAATTTAATATATGATATTTGAAATATCATTTTAAAAAAATAAAAATTCTCAAAAACATAAAAATATTTATTTATCTATTTCAAAAATCTTATAAGAAATCAAAAAGTCGAGATTTCATATTCTATGCTCTAATGGTGCATTCTATGCTCCATGATTTCTTGTCCTTCTTATTTTAATAGATCATCACATCATCCATGTTATAGATACTACTATAATATTTTTATTTAAAATCTTAAAAAAATCCTATTTAAAAGATTTTAACGTGATAATTTTTTTCGTGATAATAAGAAAAAATTATTACGTTATCTTTCTATTCATAACAAAAAGAATAAAAAGTGACACAGATAAACAATAGTCCGTTTCGCAGTAGTTGCGGTCGGTGTTACACCGCCAGGCTCTCCCCATACTGGCGCCGGTTCAGGTGCCCATCACTGGCGATCAAGGCTTAACACTATCAAGAACTCTTTCCTTGGTAGTCCTCGATTTCATCGGCGCAAATTGCTCACAAGTGCTGAGGAGGTATTTTTTTATTTAATTAAATAAATATTTATGAACTACTTTCATCCATAAGTCACCTAATATTTGAGAATATATTTCAGAATATAAAGAAATGAAAATTATAATTATGAAATATGATATTGGTATTAATTAACCATATTATGAAGAAATAATATATTTCGATTATCTTAATATAATTTTATTTTAATACATTAGCAATAATAATGCAAATACATGCATGTGTTTTAAAAAAATAATTTTAAACTATAAATTATAATTACAACATAAATAAATATATATATTTACCTATTAAAATATATAAATATAAATAAATTTAAACAAATAATTGCAACAAAATCTATTATCATCATATATGAATTAATAATAATTTTAATTTGGATATGGTTAAACATATTATAATATAATTATATAAAATAAGTATAATTTCATCATTTTTTTAATATATTCAATACATGTTTTATTCATATCATTTTTTCTTAAAAAAATATACAACTCTTATATTAAATAATAGATGAATTTTAAACATAATAATTCTTTTGATCTCTGATGAAAATGAAATATAGTTTTAATTTAAATATAGTTTACAAATTTTATTTTTTATATATTATTTTTATTTTTATAATTGCGATATTAATAAATTCAAAAATTAATGTTAACCAAAGTTTATTAATAATTTATTAATAGTTTATAATTTTATGTTTAAAATTAAAAAGTGACTTATGGATAGGACTGTACATATTTTAGAAATATCGTCACGAATAAAATATATTTCTTTTATTTGTATAGGTACATCTCACTCCGGATTCTTCTCCAGAACTTACAAAGAAATCATGGTTTGGTAGTCTAATGACCACGGAGAAAGATGAAACATTTACCATTCTCGTAAAAGGAAAAGTGTTAGCAAGCGTCAAAGCCGACTTGATACATGCTTTTTTATCGGTAAGCTTTTTTTTACTTAATATTCCTTATTTACATTATACATTATCGATCAAAAGTTTGGAATGATTAAAAAATTCTATAAAATCCAATTATTTAAAAAAAGTTAACTTAAAATTAAATTCTTTCAAAAAAGAAAAAAATCTATCAAACTAATAAAATTATTATTAAATTCTTATTTATTGTCATATAAAATTTCAAATATTTAAAAAATAATCATTATAATAATATATTAATTATAATAATATAATATAATAAAATAATATAATATAATAAAATAATATAATAATTAGTTGAATATTATTTGCAACAATTATGTTTAAATTATGATTATTTTGAATGATTTTATTATTTGAATAATTTTAAATGATTTTTCTTTATTATTTTGTTATTTTTTTATTATTTTATTAATTTTTAAACAAAATAATTTTTGTTTTATTTTTTATATTTTATTCAAATTCAATATATTCAATTCAAATAATTTCTCAAAATATACATAGAAATAATACATATAATAATAATATACATAAATATACATACATAAAAATATACATAAATTCTTGCAATATCTCACGTATATAGTTACAAACAACAATATATTTGTCAATAACTACAATATAATTGTATTTATAATTATTATAATAATAAATTTACCATAATATCTTTCTGACAAATTGTTTGAAGTGAGAACAATTCTGACAACAAATGTGATTAAATTTCAAGCAAATTTATGAAATGAACTTGGAATTTAATAATTTACTGTGGTCAAAATGAAAATTAATTCAAAATATGTAATAACAGATAATCTCACCACAATCTTTTATATTAATATATTTGTTATTTTATTTGAATAAATTAAAAAAATTATTAAAAAATTATATATTATTATATTAAAATGTATATTATATTATATTAAAATTATATATTACACAAATTAAAATTATTTTTATCACATTATTTATAATAAAAAAATAATATTTGAATAATATATTAGAATAAAAAAAAATATTTGAAATAATTTATAATTTTAAAATATAGTATTATATTTTTATAGATTATTAATTTAAATTTTATAAAACGTCACGTTAATAAATTTTTATTAAAGTTTTTTTAGATATATATATTTTAATTATATTATTATATTTATATTATATTTTTCCTACTATATTTTTATAATGTGCAGTTTATAATGTGTCAATAACAACATGAAAAGAAAAAAAAAATGAAAAAGTATCAAATTTTTGATCAATAGTGTTTTAAATTTCTCAGGTTCATATAAAAAGCAAGCAAGTTTTGATCAACAGATAGCAGAGTTATCTCACAGTGTAAGCTCACCCATGTCCTTCAAAGTGGAATACAAGAGGGGTAGTACAGCGCCGGCCATGTTTCAAAGACAAGTCCGTTTTCAAGTAGACATCAGCGCCATATCAAAACAGCCAAGTGAACCATTGTTTGCCATTACTTTTACTCTTTTAAGCGGTAAGTGAATTTTCAATTCATTAAATATTGTCACAATAACTCTGTATTTGAAAATCGGAATAATTCATATTTATTTTTTTATTTTTTTTTATTTTTTATTATTTGTCAATAGTTCAGAAAAAAAACGATCATATTATTGGATTTTAAGTTATTTATACTTGAATTTTTATTATATAATATGAATATGAAAGTAAAATTTTATTTTATTATAATAATGCTTTGAATTATCATTATTCTATACCAATACTTAATATACGTAATAAAAAGTATTTTATATAATTATATCTTTTAATTTTTTGTATTTCTAACTTATATCAACTTAATTTATATTAACTTAAAATCATAGTACTATAAAAGTATTTATAAAAATACAACAATATAAAATATATATATAATGATATGTTTTTATGAATTATATATATTGAAAAATGTTGTTTTATTATGCTTTAATATTATTATTATATTATATATTATATTATTATAATAATATTATTATTGTTTTAAAATTAGTTTATAATTTTAATATTTTTTAGTATTTTTTTTAGTATTTAATCCTTTATTTGATTAGTAAAAATAGAATAACTCCATAAGATGTGATTAATGTCTTATTTTAGAAATATGCAATTGCACTTACAAACAAGTTATTAATTTCTATATCTATAGAAAATTATTTGATTTTTATTTTTTTTTTTTTATTAAACAATTATAAAAAATTTAAATTTGCATTAAATGAAGGAAGATAGTAAGATAATAATATGACTCTATCTCACTTTATCTAACGCAAATTTAAAAAATTATTTAATAAATAAATTTCGACATTTTCTATACCAAATTTTTTTACTTATTTTGCTTTCTGTAATTGATTCTTAAAATATATATCATAAATATGTTAACATCTTATATAACTGAAATTAGAAAAAAAAAGAACTTCAAAAATGGCTTTTAGATATAAAACTTTTACTCTTTTCTCTCGTTCTTTTTATTTTGTCCAATATTTATTTATAAATGTCGAAACAAAACAAAAAGGATATATTGTATTTTTGAATACAAATCGCGAAAAATAATAGATTGGTAAGGTAGCAGTTTTTCGAGTTTGGCAATTGTCCAAGCGCAACTAGATCGATGTTACCTTGGCAAGTATTATTTTATATTCTGCTTGTATATCAGAACCATGTATAATGTATAATGTATAATCTAATGTTATTTATTTTCTCTATTCTTTCATGATCTGTCAATCGAATATAACTTGATTTACATTGTACACTTATAATTAGAAAAGAAAAAAAATTACAGTTGGCTAAAAAAATATTCAATTATATTAAACATATTTAAATATACAATTTATAATAATATAACTATATCAGTAAAGAAAAATTATAATTTTAATAAGAAATGATTTAAGAAGAAGATGTAATGATTTAAGAATTTAGAAGATGTAATTAATAAGAATATTCTTGACTTAAAAATAAATCAAAAATATTCATATGAAACTCGATTTTTAAGAAAATAATCAAATTTGAAGTGCTTAAATATTTAGAAAAGAGTAATAATAAACATTTAATGTTATATACTAAAAAAATAATCATATTATTACAATTAAATAATAAATAAATCATTTAATTGTAAATATATTAATAATTTTTCAAATAAAAAAATTGATTTTAAAATAACAATAAAATGACACAACTTTTTAACTCTTTTTAATCATATGTTCCAACTTCAATAATAAATGATTATCGATTATATTCGATTGATTTTTTAGGAAACATTCGAAGATTTCGAAGAGTTTGCGAACACATTCAGGCACAAGTCTGCTCAAGAAATGTAGGAATCAATTTGGGAGGGCAGAGCCGAGCAGCGCCACCTAGTCCACGAGCATCACGAAAATTTACCACGGAGATGAGCGAAAGTTCCAGCTGTGGAAGCGATACTAGCGAACGGTTATTTCTCAGCCCGCATCCAGCTACCAGACAGGTAGTCTGTTTCAACAAGGTAGTGCATCATCTTCCTCCTCCTTCCCCTACATACCATTATCGCGATAATTATTATATAATTATTATATTTGGAAACGTTATCGTTCTTCATGGAAACCAGTTACCAAAGGTGAAAATCGTTTATCTTCTAACAATTGTCTCAATCTTGACAAATTGCCACAAATTATCACAAATTATCACAAATTACTACATATGTTTCACATTAATAGTCCTTAGTATCACGCATAGATATTAATGACTGTTCGCGTTATGCACTGAAAAGCAAATGCAAGTAGATACTATAAATTGAGAGGATACTGATAGAAATCTTGATAGGTTTTGTTATATAGGATAATAAAAAAAAGTTCATCAGTTTTAATCTAGACATTAACATAATATATTTAATATATTTTAATAAGATTCACCAAATGAAACAAAGATCTTGTAAATATGGGTTAAAATTAATATTTTCAAAGCAATAAATAAGATAATTCGTTTAAATTTTAATTCGTTTAAAATTTTGAAAATATTAATTCTTCTATTCAATTTTCTGATTACTTTTTATATATCCTCCAATTTCTGATACATTTCATATGCACTTTATACGCACAATAGCACAATGAAAACAAAAAATTGCTTATATATCTTTAAAAACAATTATTTTTCAATCCATGTTTATTAGGATTTTTTTTTATTTGATGAGAATTATTTACTGTAAAAGTCATGAAATCTTTTATTATTTGTATAATATAAAATTAAATTAAAATATTAAGTTATTTATATTTATTATTTAATTTAAATAATTTAGACATCATTAAAGCTTTTATCATTTTATTACAAATATAAAAATTATTATTCTTTTTTTTTAATATATATTAATTTTCTGCCAATATTATTGCCGTAATTAATAGTATTATAATATAAATACACTAGCAATAACAATACACTAGAATCAATTAATATTTAAAATTTTTTTCTTATTCTTAATATATTTTGTTTTTATTTTTATTTATTCATTTAAATAATTAATTTATTTTCAAATTAATTAATTTAATCCTTATTATTAGAACATAAACTGATTGTGATTTAAGCTTTTCTCTATTTATATCTTACTTAATTATTTATATATTATTTAATTATTTATATTTTAATTAAAATCTATTTGTTAATTTATAACTAATTAAACAAAAATATATTTTAAAATGCTAATATAATTAAAATCTACATCAATGTTATCCAGTGTTACCAATTTATAGTATTCTCCCAGTTTATGGTAAATGATTAGACGCTAGCTTGATATTAATAACGAAAAAGCCAACATTAAATGAATTTTTTTATATTTATTCATGTATTTCATTTTAATAATTATATACAAATATCAAATGAAACTGTTAAAATTTTCAATTATAAATAAAATAATAATAATTTTCCAATTATTTTTTTTGTTTCAAAAAAAATTGAAACTTTTATTACATTTTTATATTAAAAAAAAATTTATTTCTTTGAAGATAAAACAAAATTTCATTTAAATAGGAATATTTATTCTATTTTTAAAAAATTTCAATTGTAGCAAGCAGTTTTTTTATCATAATATAATTAAAAAAATTTCAGAAATCTATTTATTAAAATTTTATTTCTTAACAAATAATATTTTTATTCATATATATAAAAAAAAAAGAAAGAGAAAAAAGAAAGAAAAAAAAAATAACTTAAAGTTTTAAGAATTTCAAATTTCGAAACTTTCGAAATCTTACAAATTTTCAAATTTAAAAATTATTTGAGAATTGAACTCAAATTTACTAACAAAAAAGAAATGATTTAAAAATTAAAAATTCAATAAATAATTTTTATTTATAAAAGTTATTAATAGTTTTATTTATTTTCTAATTATATAGCTAATTACACGTAGCTATAGCTAATTTTCCATAATAATAAGTATATTAAAACATCATTAAAGCTTTTTATTATTTATTAAATATGTATATATATATATAAAATATATATAAAATAAAAAAAAATTATAAATAAAAAAAATGATTATTTTAATAGTACAGAAAAAAAATTATTTCTAATCTTTCAACTTTAATATACAAAAGATTTCTTAATAAATAAAATTAAATTTTAAGATATCGCGAGGATTTTTAAATTTATAGAAAACAACGTTTACAGTAGTACAAAGTAATAATATTTTTTTCATTTATTCTAAATCCAAATTTTAAAAATTATTCAAAATTATTTTTACAAAAAATGTTTTGTCAAAAGCAAATATTATATTATACTATAAATTATGAATAAATTATTGAAAATTTATAAAATCAATAAAAGTAATATTACATACTTCGCAGCACTTAGAAAATTTGTTCAAATTTTAACAACTTAAATGTCACCATCGAAGACAATTTTTATTCGCTATTAGAATTCATGAATAGTAAAAAAAAATTATGCTTCTATGCTTCGTTCCGCCTTAATTATTTATTAATTTATTTAATTTATTTTATTCGATATTTAATTGTTATTCATATTTCCAGATCGACTCGGACATCGAGTCGGATACATCCGTATTCGACGTGAAGTCACCGACCCGTGAAAATGGTCGCAGAAGTTCGACCTCGACGAACAATAACAATCCGTTACCGGGTGACACGACCCCTACACCGGGAAGTCCGACGAAAGCGGTGCGCAGCAATTCGGAGAGTCAAAACACGCCGGAAAAAAAATGCGTAACTACGATGAGCGGCAACAACATAGCGTGATACTATCAGAACTTCCGTTTCGAGTTTCGATCAAGTTTGAAGAACTTGTGGGACAGCGCCCAGAGATTCTGGTGAATCCCTCATCCGATCAAGAAATGATCCGAGGAACTAACCAGCAACGAATCTTGAAATGATGCTTCAACTGAGGATAAACTTCAATGAGGCATTAAGCTATCGATCCGAATAACAATAAGGAAAACACTTAATGCGATGGCACAGAGGTTAGAAATGATACCATTTCAAGAAAGTCTAATAAAAATATCTTGACTTTTTTTTGTCGCGAATCAACGAACGTCAAAAGCGACCGAGAGAGAATTTTAAAAGAGAACCAATGATAAACGTTCCTAAGAACGAGAATATCCATTTAAAGAAAGAACAAGTCCAGATCTGAGGAAATTCATCGAGGAAGCACAAAATGCAATTCAACTGAGAAAAAAGGCGGAAAGAAGTTTGTGCTGCCACGCAAATTGTTCTGATTATTTCATTGCAGTGATCGCACAGTGATGTGTGTAATGATCGTTTTGTCGCGGGAATCATAGTACAGTTTTTTTATCTGAAAGTGAAGTGCAATAGTGACGTTTGTACCGGTATACTTACGTCGGATCATGTAAGAATGGTTTATCGGTACGTATTATACTTGTTGTACATCGCTAATTAGCGATCTCGTTTTTATCATTAAAGAAAAAACCTGAGAAGTTGAATAGACATTGATTATACACTATTTTATATTATGCGAAGAAACTTTTAATATATGTTGCTGATAAGTTAGCAGCTAAAATGGAATAGTCCTCTTCTTTTTTGTTCACTAGATAGAATATTTGCAATATAATTATTGTATTTCTTGATATTATTTTCAAATTTTTTTAGTAAAATAAATTTATCTATTTTCCAATTTAAAATATAATATTTTTTCTATTAATAGAAATTTTCGTGAAAATGAAATAAAATAACTTCAAATGATGATGAAAATAAAAAAAAAATTTACTGAGTTTAAAAAAGCAATAAATGTATGTCACTTACTCTTACTTTAATGAATATCTGTGTCTTATATGCATTCAAAGTTGTTAAATATCAAGACAAAATGGTTGCTAATGACAGTAGTAGCATAAGGAAAGAAGAATAATTCTTCATTCTAGAAAAAATTAGATAATGACGCAACACTAATAGCTTGACCAAGCCATTAGTGTCGTATTGTCGCATTTTATTCCTACACAACGAATTATTTTCTTATGAAATATACATTGCTATTCTAATGGTATTGGCAATTATTTTATTCCGATATTTGGTAATGCTCTGATATATTAGATACTGTATTTCATATACCATTTGTTTATTGCAAAGTAAGATTAAGTTTTATCAAATCATTATTCGATATAATCATAAAATGATAATAATTGACATGTTATAAAAAACTTAACTATTTATTACATAGTACAATATAATAGAAGCAAACTTAAAATTAATTTTAATTATTTAAAAGAAAAATGAAAATATTGAATTCAAATTAATTATTTTTCAGTAATATAAATATATCTTATAGATACAACTTCTCACAGAAAACAAAAATATTTTTTGAGTTTTTTAAGTTTTTAATAAATAAAAAAATCACACAAATTTAAGAAATTGAAAATGTTATATATGTTTATCATATAAATTTTATCTATAATCATAATCCAATACTTTGGCCAATATATTTTTTTATTTTTATAAATATATATATATATATATATATATATATATATAAATCAATTAATTAGATTCCTTGCAATTGCCAACTTACCAACAAGTTTCTTCGCTGTTTTATTTTTTAATTTCAATCAATTTTTAATCAATTTCTCTGGGTTTTTGAATTATAAATTTGTTTCCTTCCTTCGTTGGAATGGTTCCGTTTATATTGATTAATTGCATCGTTATATACGACTTTGTTACAAAAGTGTAAGTGCTAAGTATTCAATTATTAATTACAATGCGTAAATTATTCGCTCGTTTCCGAACTGTTGTTCCACCGAACTGTTGTTTCGAAATTATAAATTAATAATTATCTTTAAATCGAATTTTATTTGAAATTTATAATGAAACATACTGAACATTTCTCGCGATTCAGAATGCATTCACTTTTTTATATTTTTTTTCTCCTCTCCAATATACATATATATTTTTCTGAAATAATATAAACAATAATATAAACAATGAAGTGATCATAATCGGAAACGAAGTCTTTCTTGTTCGCTTGAGGCAATCGATATTTTATTGCAAACGAGAAAGAGCCGGATATGCCTTATATGCAAAAATACCCTAATATTGATTCCGCCTTAATCGAATATAAAATAATGCAACTAATGTTCCACTAGAAGAAGAAATATTAAGTATTAAAAATTTCGTGGAATACAGCTTCCCGATTTAATGAGCAAAAATGAAAATCTGAAGAAGAGACTCTTCTTCGATCGATGTATTACAGCAACGCTATTTTTACATTTTCCGCGCAATAAAGATAAAATTTTTCTAGTTCGTTTAGTGCTTTGAAAAGAGAAAAAAATATCTAATATAAACAAGTAGGCACATTTTTGCAAAGGGGAAAGAAAGTACGAAAGAGAAAGATTCCAACATTCATCAGTTATCCATTTTTGTCCTCTTCAATTTTTGAATGGCAAACAATTCTCACGTTCTCGACCATGAATCGTTTCTCATGCCGACACTTTTAAATCTCAAATCTTTGAATCCTTGATCCAACATCTTCTCAACGACGTTGTGATTATAGCCAATCGATTCTACATACGAGTCGCTAAAAGCGTCTCTTGATGTTTCTATAACTTTTTTGCGAAATACGTATGTAGTAGAAAAGAGAGAGAAAAAAATGGGAAAGGAAATTAGAGAAAAAAAAGAAACGTGTTAAAAGAAGAAAAGAAAAAAAATTCACTCGTGGCGCAACAATCGCGTCGAGAGATTTATTTTTTGCACGTACGAGAAATCATTTCAAAAGACTAATATATAAATAAATAAATAAATACGAATATAAAATATATAAATAAATTAATAAATAAATAAATATATGTATATGTATATATAAATAATTGTATATATACATATATATATATATATATATATACAAATATACGCATATATACAGAACATCACACACACACGTACATGTATAAGTAAATTTCACTTACGAGCGACGCGTTCTGACGCGTACGGCTTCTTGTCTGCTACTAATGTGAAAATAAATATGAAAGAAAAGAGATAGAGAGAGAAATAAAAAATGCGAGATTGCAATAAGAAAAGATAAATATTTCTTTCTCTCTCTTTCTCTCTAACATTTCTATAATAGAATAAAATAAAGATAAGTGATTCCAAAAGATAAAAAAAAAAAAATAAGTATAATTATCGTACACGTTTTTCTCAACACACAAACATATCTCAAAAATAATCCCGGCTTCTTAGTGGAACGACGAACGCATTATAAACGCGATTAGTATCGAACCATTTTTAATCGAAGGCTCGTTATAGACGTAACCAAAGTCGAATCCTGCCGAACGTAAGTCTCGACGAACTGAACATAACTCTGCTCGCTTTTAATTGACGTAGTAAAACTTAAATCAACTCCAGAATTTTAAATCGTTATATTAAATTTATATTAAATTGTAAAAAATTTTAAATATTATTTTGAAAAAAAAGAAACATGCATTCACAAAATATAATCTTTCAAATACTCTATGCATTTTTTCGATTAGACGAAAGATTATTCAAAATATTATATTTCACAATTTTGATAAACGAAACATATACTATATATATAGTAAACATATACTATATATATATATATATATATATTCGGCGCGAAAGAAGCATTTCAAGCGGAGAGAAGATAATGATTTTTAATTTTTATAATTTGATCGTTGCTTGATATGGTAATATATATAGCAAAAAAAAAAAAGAATCTGGTGAAAACTCACTATTCTGATGATTCTAGTATTACTTAATCGAAATCTTAGCAGCAGACGAGACGATATGTAATTAGGCGGGGCAAGACGTTATTCGCTAAGATTTTTGCGATTAGATAAATATAAGCGAGAGAATTCGAACTTCAAATGTTCGCTCGAATCAAAAATTGCAATTGTCCCTAACGATTCCCGATAACTCTCGCTTTAGATATAACTTGTACATTATATCGCACATGATGACTCGTTCCTACATAAACAGCTATGTACTTACGAATTATTGAAAAAAAGGTATAATAAGGATTGTTGTTTCAATCAATATTTCGAAAACAAAGAAAGATTCTTTTTGTCAATAGAATTGATATAATCATTGTTTTTATTAAGTAAGAATTTGTCATTTCAGAAATATAAGAACAATTTTTGTTATAACATACGCGCGACGTAGATCAAAATTTTAGGATAAAGTTTATTCGTAAAAAATTTTTTTTCTCCCCATATTATCGCTGCATTTTTTTTTTTTGTTTTGTTTTGCTTTGCTTTATAAAAATCGACAAAAAAATTACTTGTAATATTTACTCAGTTTCGACAATAGCAAAATAAATAAATAACAAGTGCGAAAAATCGTAACAAAAAAGTGGAAAGTCAGACGTAAGCCTGATTTAATAGGCGATTAGATAACTCGATTCGATATTCCCTACATATTTATATTACAACATTCCATTAAGAAGCTTGCAGGTAGAAAATAAAAAGATATTGTATCGTTCGACGAACGGTATCTTACATGCTTCTAACCTAAATAGATAAGGAGAGGATGGAAGCAGCAAAAAAACAGGGAAAAAAAATTCATATTATGGTGTGAAAAATGGATTTAATACGTTTCCTGGAAATAAATCGAATTTTTCAATACGTGAAATCACAAATGAAATAATAGGAAATGAAAAACAGGAAAAAGGGAGAAGAATGCATGTGTGAATGAGAGAGAGAGAGAGAATGGTTGTTGAATATTGAAGCAAATCGTTTTTCATGTATTTCATGCGTCATACATAACACACACACCATTAATTCATAAATTGACTTAGATGTTAAGCTTGCGGTTATCTATTTACTAATTGCGGATTAATGTAAAACCATTCGTACGATATAAGTAATATGAACATAATTAAAAAAGGGGGAAAACTGATAGGAGGATTACGGGAGGGAGGGAGAGAACATAATGGGGAGGAAAAAAGAGAAAGAAATATGAGGACACAAGAGAAACAAATTACCGGCCATATTAATCTAGGATTTTATATCATGTGAATTTAAGAATGGAGAGAAATACTAAAGTACTTCGGTGAATACTCGAGTGAATGAATTTCTATCTGATGTATTTCATTTGCAATTGGGCGTACCGCTTAGCACACGCGTTTGCCTCATCTGTCACACATATTGCACGACGGATAATTAGCAATATTCTGTTATCCATATGTCTCTGATTTATTTATTTATTTATTTTTCGATTCGCTTTTGTCTCTCTGTACCGATATGCAGCGATTCGATTATTCATCTCGATTCAACAAATGCTGAAATTATTTTTCAATTAGATATTGAAGAACGAATGAACAATGAATCTCTATTTAAATTTTACTTTAATTATTCTATCTATTGATGATAATTGCTGTAATCTTCCTTTATTGTTATATTTATTTTAATGTATATCTTTAAATTTTATTAAATTTTATTTTCAATTATTTATAAAATAACTTTTTTTCTTGTAAAAAAATATATAATAACCTTTTTGTTATCTTTCAATACAACGGAAAAAAGAGTCTGAAATTCACCGTA